GAGAGGAACTTACCTGAGACTGTTGTGCCTCGCAACCATGATTAAGGTCGGGGACAGCTCACTGCTTCAAAAGGCCGGCACTGTCTTATTGATTCGGATATTCACTGTATTCACCACTGGAGGCCAGCGGCAGAGTGGAATTGACTTGGAGAGTGACACTATGCTTTCACAAGGCGGTGTGTGAGAGGAGAGTTGCATGACCAGTAATCGACAATATTGAACCCCATGAGGTTCTAATCTCCCTTGATACTATCAAAGGGAGATTAGAAACCCATGTGCGTAATTTAAAAAAAAAAAAAAAAAAAAACATGTGTGAGGCATTACATCTCACAGACTCACAGTATACACATGGTGCCCATGGCATAGCATCAGTGTATCACCCTTCTCGCCTCGCTGCTCAGGCGAGGAATCCCAGCCACTTTCCCAGAATAGATAATGGACTCCCTGCATCCTCTGCGCACCTGTCAAATTCCACTTCCAGTCCAAAGCACAGTGTCATCATCATGTGTTCCACCTTGTTTTTCTTTTTTTTCTTTTTTTCTTTCCCCATGTGTTCCACCTTCTTTGTCCAAGGAAACCGTACTCGGTTAGCCGCCTAAGCTCGATGTCCGGGACCACTGCCCAGTTCTGTGATCCCATGTGTCTGTATCTGACCTGGATACCAGCTGGATAGCAGCTGAAACCATAGCACCTGCTGAAAAAGGAGCTGTTCTCTTCAAGGAGATCATGAATGTGCTCAACGTCAAAGGCGACGGAGTCTCCCGATCATCCTCTGATACTGCAGCATCTCACATCTTCCCCATCGTTGTAATCTCATCAGCGCGTGTGATGCCGCCCACGCGACGTTCGCTTATTCAGCATCCCCTTTCACTCATGCGAATGATAACCCGAAAGATTCCCTGGTACACGGCCAGTCTTTCCACTTCTCCAAGGCTTACACGTATCGGATAGAAAGTTATGTGCCCCACTGCAGCCACCGAGTGTAGATGTAATCCTCCAGCAGCCAATATACGTCTACACATCCACACTTGCTACAAAAACTGGTCTAGTTTCCCCCCGAGGCCTACGCAAAACTGGGTGACCCGGTCCGTGCCTCTTAACTCGTATAGTACCCGTTGCTTGGGCTACCGTCTTCCCCCGAACATAACGCATATGCTTTGTATTCGAGTTTTCGAAAGAGAGATTGTATTCGAATCTTACGGCTGTTTCGAATAGAACACATATGCTTTGTATTCGAATGTATGCGGTGCATTTATTTTTACAACACTTATGCGTTATGTTTGGAGGAAGACAGTTGTCCAGACGCTAATTGCCCAACAAATCCGCACCGTTGCACTGTTGTCCACTTGAGGAGGAGAAAGCCTGAAGCTAGACGAGGGAGGAGGACGGACATGAATGGTAACGCAGTATTATTGATTGATTGCACTGCCCAGTTATTCTCTCCCTCCTACTCTTTCTCTTCTCCTTGTCTTGTCATGTGACATCAGACGCTAATTGCCCAACAAATCCGCACCGTTGCACTGTTGTCCACTTGAGGAGGAGAAAGCCTGAAGCTAGACGAGGGAGGAGGACGGACATGAATGGTAACGCAGTATTATTGATTGATTGCACTGCCCAGTTATTCTCTCCCTCCTACTCTTTCTCTTCTCCTTGTCTTGTCATGTGACATCAAGTGGTCATTAGTTTGATACTTCAGAGTAAGAGAAGTACGCTTCAGAAGACGGGCTCATTACACAATTCTTTTAATATATCAACCTCATCTCTCTGCTTACTCCAATCTTCTTCTCTGCATATCTGAGTGAGTGAGTTATGTCATTACTTGGATCCATTTACTGGCTCTTTCTGAGGGAATCACATGAGTAATTCCTTTTCAACAACAACAAGAACAACAACAAACGAAAACTTTTTGTCCGGTTTGGAACATTTCTCTCGTTGACCGTCATCCTTACGCAGAGGTCATGCTATTCTTCCCCGCATCTTTGCGATTTTACCAGCTGGTCTCACAGGACCTCATATGAGTAAATTCGCAACGTTCAATATCACGAATAGCACAGCGTGTCCTTCAAAACATCTGTTAAAATTGGAACGATACAGAGAAGATTAGCATGCCCCCTGTGCAAGAATGACACGCATAAATCGAGAAATGGTCCAGATAAATTAATAATTGTTATTATTATTAAATAATTAAAAAAAAAAAACGAATAGCAGAGGGTAAACATTTATCATGGTGACCACCTCAGCCCCATGTGGCTGAGAGGTACACACATGTAACTGTTGATGAACAGATCATGAGTTCGAATCCTTTCGGAATCAGATCGATAAAATAATGTTAGGGGCTACCCCCTTTTCAAAACAAGAAAAAAAAAAGCTAAAAGAACCCCCTTACCTCCGAAAAGCACCCCTTCTTGTACTGTTCATTTCCAACTCTCTTCACCCAGTCAGGATCATGACTGGCTAGGGCTTTCTTCACTGCAGCCTGATCCCCCATGACTGCCTGCTTGAGATGTCAGAACCAAGAAAGAAAAAAAGAAAGAAAGAAAGAAAGATTCTGAAAGAAAGGGAAAAAAACGGTCTGGTGCAAGATCTGGTCCTCCGCTCTTTCACAGTGATCATCTCCTGCCTTCCTTCCACATTCTCAAGCCCAAGAAGACCAACAACCTTTCTGTCCACAGGAGCTTCTAAGTTTAATCTGCACCTGGTGCATCCACAAACCACCATCGCTCAATTTGTCAAGATCATAATCATAATCACTCTTACCGGGTCCCACATCACCGACCCCCGGAAGTGCCGACAACCTTCATGTCCACAGGAGCCGCCAGGCAAAGCTCTTTGTAACACTTCCGGCTCCATCCACCACACACGCGGTTAACGGAGGGGCCAAAAATTCACTGTTTTTGCCGCATCGCCACAAGCAGCGTATTGGAAAACTCTAGAAACAAACAATGTGGGCTCATAATACAAACATCAAAGAAACCAAACAGGCAAAAGAAAACGAACAAAAAATCACAAAAACACTATTTTTTTTTATAAAACCCTAACGCGAAAACACTTTCTGAGTTGAAGTAAGCATTCAACGATTTTCAGAGAAATGCCAACCTTTTCATTATTGATCCAAATATGACAAAACTGAATACACAATGTACCCTAAAGCACATACATATGACACAAAAAGAAAATGAAGAAAAAAAAGCAAATAATCAGGGCAATATGACAGTTTCAGTGCAAAATTCGCTGAAAATAACATGTTCACGACAGTCTCCTGTACAAACTTGGGTACAAGCCATATAAATGATGTATGCAAGAAAGGGAAAAGAGACTTTAAAGAGTCAGACACATCATTCTCCATCACAACTCAGTACATTGAAATTGTGGACCAGATTTCTTCAGCGCTTCGGCTTCAGTCCTAATCAGCTACACCTGGGATGGAAGCCTAGATCTGCTCTAGACTTCCTCCTGCATGAAAACCCAACTGTTGCAACTCCTAGAACCATAGAGTTTGGTGTCCAGTATGAGAAGCTGTTGCAGCAGACTGTTGAGCACCTCAAGAAATCTCAGGAAGCAACGATTGCTTCTGGGAAAAAACATCGCCGACAGTCCACATTTCAGGTAGGGGAATGTGTCTGGGTTAAGGCTAGTGAGTTGGGATAGGAGTTTGGCATCTCTAGAAAACTAATGCCTCAGTATTTCGGTCCCTGGGAAGTCTTAGACATTGTGGGTACTGATTTAGAGACATTGTGGGTAGTGATTTGGATGGTCCCTCGTACGTGATTCGAATCCCTGGTCACCTACGCACTTACCCTGTGTTTCACGCCTCAAAGCTTGCACCTTCGCTGAGACACAGCAGTTCCCATCAGGGAGATCAATGCTGGCCCCAACCATGGATGGTCACATGGACATCGACGATATCCTAGAACACAGAGACCTGCCTGTTCCCAAGCCAGGTGACCGAGGAAGACCGCCTAAACCTATGAGGGAGCACAGGGTACGGTTCAGGCATCACACTGATCCTAAGGAAGATCGATGGTTCACAAGAGAGGAACTTGTCAAGATAGCTCCCCAGACCGTGGCCGAGTATGAAAGAAAACTGAAGGGGAAGGCTCCAGCATGAAGGATCTCAGCGGACTTTCAAAGGTAAGGGGGATGGAATGCGAGGAATGAGCCCTCGCAGGGCCCTTGTCAAGCACGGACATGTTCAGAATCTGGGCGGAGGCCCCCAGCAAGCCAAGTGCCCGCCCTAAGTGAAGGCGGGCCTGAATATTCACTAGAGGCCAAAATTCGGCATTGTCCATATGTGGGTACTCAGGCTGTTGCAGCCCACCAGTTCGTTGAGTGGACGCATGAGCCTCCCTAAGCTGCGCCGTACAGTTTGGCCCAGGCCGTGGCAGTTGGGCCTGGGCACATACACACAATGCAGGGCCGATACATCACGAAGTGGCTACAGGCCTACGCAAAAGCAGCATTGTCGATGTACATACCCCGGGTCCTGTGCAAATGCAGCAAACGGCCCAAGTCTAGAGACTCAGGTCGTGCCCAACTGTAAAGGGCCCAGGCCCTCAACTGTAACACTGGGCCTGGGGGCAGGTACTGGGGCCTGACCAGAAGCTACTGGAAGCTTCCTAGCCAGGCCACACACAGCCAAGCAGAGGTTGCCACTTTCATATAGGAAGGAAGGCAGCCAGGGTCTGGCATTCTGGCCCATGCAGGCAATGCGGTCATGCTGCTGCGTTGCTACGTGAGAAGCTGCATGCTGCGTTAGTGGCCAGGGCGCTTGCGGGGTGCATGAGAGGTGAGAGGGGCGCTGCTGGGCAGCGGAGCGCTAGCAGCCATAGCCGGGCTGCAGGGCGCTAGGGGGTAAGAGGGCGATCGGTGGTCTTCAGGAAGGAGGCGAGTGTGGGTGGACAGGGTCTGATGAGGGGAGATGAGATACGTACCTGGTACATGAGAGAGGTCGGCTATGGTGTTGACGTCATGAACATTGGTCTTCAAGAGTCGAAGTGAGCCTGTTGCTGGAATGCTGAAGTAGGTGGGATAGTCAAGTAGTTTAGGCTGGGCACTGGGCGCCAGACAGACAGGAGCGACTTTGAATACTGTGTTGGTGTGGCCTGAGGGCTTGAACATTGGCTCAAGACTTCATTGTATTGCTCTTATTTGGATGGAATCTCGGTGCATTTGTGCTCTCTGCTTGTACACGACTACTTGGACATCTGCGTGATTTCGCAACTTGGCTTTCTGTATATCGTTCCCAACTTCGCACTCATATTCCTTGCACCTACAGGAAAATAACGCAATACATTTTCGCGAATTTCTTCTATATCTTTATATTCGCATCATAACCACAACTGAAAATAGAACAGGAATAGCTCCCACACAAACAACTGAAAAAAATCATAGCAAAAAAAACACTCCTCCTCTGCCCACAAACCATCATCATTGCCAAGATCATCATTATTCATCATCACCACGATGATCACCATAATCCAGAGCATGTCAAACTTCAGGTGAGGAATAACTATTCTCAGGGTCCAGATCACTACCATCTTCACCAGAATAGAACGCCAGGTCATTATAACCGTATCTGGACTGAAAACTGCACCAAATAAGGCTATAATGACCGGGCGTTCTATTCGGGTGAAGAAGGTACTCTTTCCTTCTGTCCAGATTACTAACCTTCCCTTCCGACAGTCCTCGATACCCTTTTTTTTTAAGTTGTTTTCTTTTTCTATAAAGGGTATAGCCCCTAGTGCAAGGAAAAATGAGCGATAGCAAACTTCAGAAATCAAACAGCATCATACACATGAGACCAGATAGTCGTGACCTCGAACCAATACCAGATTTGTATCACGAGTTCCAGCAAATAAGAGCACAGCAAAAGCTCATAATTGACAATGCTGGAATAGTCTCATCATCATCAATGAAGAACCAATGTCGATATCCTATCTGGCCCTCGGCGCCCAGACTACAGATGGCAGATCCTATCTAGCCTATCTACGATGTCGCCGATGACGTCAACAGATCCCCGAAGTACGAGCAGATCTCGGACAATGCCGTTCGCCTCAAGCACCAGGTATGTCTCTCGTATCACTCACAACCTCGATCCCCAACTCACAGATGCCACACGCACCCAAGAACCACCATGCGCCCCATCCAGCATACAGCAGCGCAGCTCAGCTATGGCTGCCTGCTCCTTCCAGCTTGCCCGTGAGCGCGTGAACGCTGGCCAGCGTTAGCGCAGCAGCGCTTGCGCAGCATGCAGCCAGTGCCCGAATCCCCAATGCGTGGGCAGGCCTTCTCTATATCGAAGTGGCCTGCTGCTGTGTGCGGTAATGTGGTACTGGGCCCCGTCCCAGAAGCTTCCGGTAGGCCCCACGAGGCTGAGCCTCAGTCCAATGGAAACAGGCCCAGGGCCTGTGGTGGTTACCAGCACCCAACTGCCCTCAGCCTTTGTTCGGTCCACGTTGTGTATCCGGCCCAGGGCCTGCCTCAGTTACATACGATGAAAGGCAGTCTGGGCCTGGGTGCATCCAACCAACTGGCGTTGCGCAACTGCCTGAATTTCCCCAGTTGCGTGGTGACCCCAACATGCCCTATAGGCCTCGGTCGAGCCTGCCTTCACTTAGGGTGGCCGACTGTGTTGAAAATAGGCCCTGTAGGGCATATCGAGGCCTTGTGCCTCCGTTCCTCCCGTGTAAACCATTTATCCTCCTTAGGATCCGTGTGATGTCTGAACCGAACGCGATACTGCAGCTTCGGTTTCGAAGGACGTCCCCTGCCTGTAGGCCTTGGAACTGGCATTTCTCTGTGATCCACGATGTCATCGATGTCGACCTCTCCATCCATGGTTGTGGGCAGCATTGAGCGACGAGAAGGAAACTGGTCAGTTTCCCTGAAAGGTGCGAGCTTGGAGGCGTGGAAGACTGGGTAAGTGCGAAGGTGACCAGGGATCTGAACTACATATGAAGGCCCATCCGGATCATCCCCAACGATATCTGGAACCTCCCAGGGTCCAAAGTACTGTGGCATGGGCTTGTGGGAGATCCCGTGCTCCTGACCCAGTTCTGAGGACTTAACCTAAACTCTGTCCCCTACCTGGAATGTAGATGGGCAGCGGTGCTTATTCTCAGTCTCTATCCTCGCCGCTTGTGCCTTGTGCATCTGTTCTACCGCCTGCTGCATCAGTTGTTCATATCGATAGGCAAACTCTAGTGTGCCAGGTGCAGCAGTCGGCTGGTTCTCATGTAATAGGAAGTCCAGTGGTAGTCTAGGCTTGAAAGTCAGTAGGAGACAATTAGGGCTCACCCCAGTGGCGCTGTGCACAGCCTTGTTGTACAGGCTGGTGATGAGAGCAAGTTTCTCATCCCAGTCCACCTGATTCGACTTGGTGTAGTACCTTAACAGGTGTTGTACAGCGCGGTTCAGCTGCTCTGCTTGGCCGTTTGCCTCTGGGTGGTTCCCGGAGGTCATCTGCAGCCCTGTACCCTGTTCTGCAGCTGCAACCTTCCACAACTCACTTGTGAATCTGACATCCTTGTCACTAACAATAGATTTAGGAAGCCCAAAGTCCCTGACCCAGTTCTCCTTGGAAGAGTTTAATCACATACTCCGTTTTTTGCTGTTTCAGGCATTGCCACTAATCTAGCATATTTACTAAACCTATCCACAATGACAAAGATGTGTCTCATTCCACTCTTGCTGGTA